GCTAATATCATGTTCAAAATAATCCTGCCTGTGCAATAGACTAGTGTATACACAATTACGTAAACCCGAAAAATAAAATAAAAAAAGGAAAATTTGCGGCTGCTTGAGAGAAGAAAAAAAAAGGGCAGCTGGGGAAAATTGAAAAAGAGGCTGGTTTATATATTTATATACACACATTGGAGGCAGCCAAGAGGTGATAACATTAACATACACACAAACAGTAAGGAAGGAGCAGACAATTTAAAGAAGGGGGAAAACGAGCTGCCTGCTGGAAATATATACATTAAGAAACAAAAACGGCGGTAGTTGGAGTAAAGAAAAAAAGGTTGCTGCCTGTACAAAATTTGGAAGACAGACGCGTGCTGTGAGAATTGGAAAAGGAGACTGAATTAGTTATGTGAAAACACAAAAAAAGGGCAGCTTCTGAGAGAGGAAAAGGGAGAATTACACAAACAAATTTGGACGGAAGATAAGGCAAACACGAAGACGACAAAGACGTGACCATGGCAACGTCAATTTGGAAATTAATTAAGCTTCGTCAATTACTCAGTGATGTCGTTCAAGTTTTATTTGTTTAATTTCAACATCATACGTGGCTAATTTCATTATTGCTAGGATATTATGAACCTTTGTTATGAAGTTTTTAATTTGAATAATTAAATTGACGTTAAATTTGTTTGAATGTTTGGATGTTTATTATCGTTTTTCATACTTTTCAATTAGCTGGCCACTAGTTAAATTGTTTTGGGATTTTGTTGTTATCGAAAGAGACAATACGATCATTAGTACAAAATAATAAATATTGTAAGGTTCGATAGAGGATAGAGATATATACCTCTATGATTCACATGGTTGTTTAAAGATGTTCTAGCTTGTTTAATGCATTTATCATATTCGCATCTTTCATCAAGAGATAGGAATGTCACATGAGGAGAATAAATTTGATAACTATCAAGAGAGATTTTCAATTAAAATAGGAATATTAATCAACAAGAATGATTTCAAATTGTCAATTTAACATCAGTAAAGGCACCTTTACACTACAGTATATGAAAATAACTCAATTTGTATCATCATCAGGCCGTATGTTGACTTCTGGCAGGAAGTAAAACATCCCCCTCCTTTCAATAGGTAGAAAGGGAGCAGCTTGTTAAAGAAAAATATATGTTGTCTATTCGTAAATCCAAATAAATTAGATCTATGCCTATTAACAAAATAAAAGGAAAAAATTTAAGAGAACCCAAAGAAAGAGCTACTGCTCTGTGGTTCCAATGAACATTATTAGAACTTTCTCTTCAGAAACACGTATACCAGTTCAAATTTTCGAAATAACCCGAACAATCCATGAAAATAAGGAAAAGTGAAAAACCCTTACATCGCCCTCATCTTGAAAAGCAGACTTTCCCCTAGAAATTCCAATCTGAATAAAGAAATTCACATGGGTTTCTGCAATCCAGTGCGATACAAATCTTCTTAACAGATTAAAAACGGAATTTCAAGATCCTAAACAGCGGAATTCCCTCAAACGACAGCGGAATAGGATATCACGTAATTTGGTGATACAAAACAAGAAAATTTAGTCCTCCGAATCACTATTCCTTCTTTTGGGTTTTGGAGAATTTGGGTTTTCGGCCTATGGGAAAAGAGTAGAATAAGCCGGTAGGTATCGTTTTCCTTATTTTTTCGTTAGGTTAGGGATAACCGTCGCCTTGCAATGTGAAGGGGAGGCAAGCTCCGATTCAAATGGCCGACAAAGATGCTAATGTTATCGAGAGGGATGACAAGGTGCACGTTAGCTCCTCCAACGTAGCCGGCCACAAAGATGACCAGAAACTCCTCGGGGGCGCCATCGATTCGCTACCTCTTCTCGCGGTAAAGGCGTGTTCTTGCTTTCACCCTCTTTTTTCTCTGGTTTACTATCTATACATTTTTTTCCCTCTCCATCTTAAGATCCGAGAAACAAGTGCTTGATGCGCTATGAGTTTGCCTTTCAACTGAAAAAATGTAAAATATCCATGTCAACGGAAGATAATATAATGAGAGAGAGAAAGTACGAAGGTTTATGTTGTCACAAATACTATTAATTTCACTGATTAATAATGACTTCTAAAAGATTATTTACTACAAAAATCTTCAAGTCGATTAATAAACCAGATCATGGTCATAAATTTAACTGTCGTTTATGAACAGGCGTGTTCTTTCTGAAACTGAAAACTGAAAAGACACGAAAACGGCAACAGACACCCTTTCATCATCTATAAATAGATGAAAAGATTTGGCCTTTTACATCAGTGTATTAGAATCCATTCTTACAAACATACTTTCTTCATCATCTTTGCTGTTAATAATCAAGATTTTTGGCAAAAGCACACAATGGCTGCCAATAATAGGATTCTGATGATCGCCTTCATTATGTTCGCATTTTTGCTGATGGCAATGGCAGAAGGGGCGGAGAGAAATACGAATGCACATTGCATGATAGAGTGCTATTCCGAATGCATGCAAATCGACATTTTTACGCACTGGGATTGTGAGAGCGGGTGCAGAGTTGCCTGCGCAAGAAGACACACAAGGAAAGTATCAGTGGATGCTCAAAATGGGTTCCTGCCTTCGTGGGTTTAACAGTCATCACAAAACTTTATCACATTTTAATGCGTAATCTTTTCATTTTATATGTCTTTGTGAGAGAAAGCGGTCAAGTTCCGGTTCCTAGTAGATTTTCCGGAGTTTTGATATGACTTTATACAATAACAAAGTGAATGAATGTCTTCATTTTCCTGATATATCAGACTGGTTTTCCTCACAGTAACTGCTATATTAATTATTTGTTCATCGTCTTCCAATTATTTAATCGACTTACTATTTGGTTTATTTACATATTGATAGGTCAAAAAAGCCATAAATATTGATTTGATCATATTTTCTGTATATAAGAATCATGTTTAGTGAAACGATTGCTAGTTACACAATATCACTTCCTATAGCAAAATGTAAAATAAAAATGTCTTATGTATCTTCTATTAATTATATATAGAGGAGCATAACGATAATGATTATAATGACCGAGTTTGAAGTTTATTAATTAATTAACAAGATGATGGTATCAGTGTCATTCATTATCAAGAAAAGAATTATATTCATTTTGTAAATGCATTTACCATAACAAAATGATACATTAACATCAATAGAACTTCAAAAATAAAAAATAAAAAATTATTGAGGTTATTTCACATTTGCAAAATTTATTTATTTATTTTAATTTTTCTTTCCAAATGTTAAACTTGAAGACATGGACATAAATTGTGCATTGTTTATGAACAGGCTTATCCTTAAATAGTTGAGAAGATCATTGACTTTTTATATCATCACTGCATTAGAATCAAACGTTAAACTTGAAGACATGGGCATAAATTGTGCATCATTTATGAACAGGCTTATCCTTAAATAGTTGAGAAGATCCATAGCCTTTTTACATCATCACTGCATTAGAATCAAATCAATTCTTAAACATAAACCTTCTTCATCATCTTTAGTCTCCAACAGTGGGATTCTGATTATTGCTGTCATTTTGTGTGCTTTGATGGCTATGGCACAATGAGAGGACAGAAATAAAAATGCACATTGCATGATAGAGTGCTATTGGCAATGCAAACAAATCGAGATTTTCACGCCCAAAGAATGTGAGTCGCCCATGCAAGATATGAAGAGAGTATCTGTTATTTATGTTCAATCACCAATGCTGATGCCCGTAATTCTTAAAAGAAAGGGTGGAAGAAAGAAAAAAAATATGTCTTGCCATACATGGCTATCTACGATGTACATTATACTTCCCCTATATATACATAATAACGATAATGTACTGATAAAAATCATGAGCATAACAATAATGATCAAGACCCCAGTTTGAAACTCATTAAATGACATGGAAAACACTTGTCGTATATCATCATTTACATTATCTTTTACAGATTGATGAGGTATCAAAAAGAAAGTCATATGACGCAATCATATGGATATATAAAATATAGGATTTCCTATCCTAGCATGATAGGGAGAGCTAATTTAACGGATTATGATATTATTGATCGATTTGGGCGTATATGCAAAAATATTTCCGATCCTCTTCTACTAGGAAAAGGTCCTTCCAATGCTCTAACGCCCACGCCAGGCATGAACCGAACTGTCTCATGACATTCTGAATCCAGCTCACCTACTGCTTCAATGGGCGAACAACTTTTCTCAACTATTTTTTTTATTTCCCCCTTTAATCCTGCTTTATTCTTATCGAAGTGTTTTTTTTTTTTAATATAAGTTGATCTATAAGTGTTCTTTTAATATATATTTGGTTGATGAGATTTTGATCGAATCAAATTTCATCACATCATTTGTTGTTGCAAATCTATAAATTGTGATGCAACCATAAATTTAATCATGAATTGTTTTTTAACAGGCTTTACTTTTTTCATCATCTTTTTCGTTAAATATCAAGATTTTGACTCAAATACACAATGGCCTCCAAGAATGGGATTCTGAACAAATCTATAAATTGTGATGCAACCGTAAATTTAATCATGCATTGTTTTTTAACAGATTTTACTTTCTTCATCATCTTTTTCGTTAAATATCAAGATTTTGACTCAAATACACAATGGCCTCCAAGAATGGGATTCTGAACAAATCTATAAATTGTGATGCAACCGTAAATTTAATCATGCATTATTTTTTAACAGACTTTACTTTCTTCATCATCTTTTTCGTTAAATATCAAGATTTTGACTCAAATACACAATGGCCTCCAAGAATGGGATTCTGATCATAGCTGTCAATATGCATGAGCTGATGGTTATGACAGAGGGAAAGGGGAGAAGTGGAGAGTCGCCTGTGCAAAACATACAAGGAGAGTACCTGTTAAAGAAAGCATGCTAATGCCCATTACCCAGGCAGCTTGTTATTTGCATTTAACCCCCAGTGCTCGTGCCCGTAATTCTTGAAAGAAAGACTAGAAGAAAAAAATAAATGTGTTGCCATACATGAACATAGTTCATTCAAGAAAACGAATTTCTAAATGCATATATAGCATATATACATTTTGATGAAGACTGTCTACACTCTACAATTTACTTTCCCTATTTACACATAATTACTAACATCACATAAGATACAAACATGAGTACATTACATTGAATTTTACAGATAGAAGTATATTAACCAGTGAACAGATTTCACTTCCTCTAGTTTATTATGTTGTTCTCAGAAGAATTTTCTGATAGTCTCCTTTCAGAGTTTCTGGGCAGTTCATTCTTCTTACTTAGCAGCACATGGTCATCTGTCGAGCTTCCTTCTTTTTCGGTCCCTTCTAGATTGATCCTTCTTCTCATCAATTAATGATATTAAAGTTTGAAGGCGTCTAGAATGTGAGCTAACCTGTCCATTAGAAGCAGATTCAACAGCGACAGCTGCCCGATACTTGTGAATAATCTGCCACAAGTATATAACGAAAGCAAGAAAACAAACTATCCCACATATAAGAAATAGGACCCAGAAGCTTCTCAGGTGAAGACGGTTTGATTCAATCTCGGTATCATCTGTAGTGCACAAGTTTTTCGTAACCCACTTGTCATGAATTCTCTGGAGATCTCCATTTTCTGATAGCGTTAAAATTGCTGTTGATAAGTCAATGGTCAAGGGGGAGTCCCGTGGAAATGCCTACATAAAGATGCAAGAAATTAGCCATCGAGGAATTTTTGAAACTGGATTTAGTCCAATCATAAGCAGGTTTCACAGGGCACTGGGAAACAAATAGAAGACAACGAAATAAACAAACATTATCTTCGTCAAAGTGCACAAATGCGCAAGCGCAAGCAGAACAATAGATGTTACTCACAAATCCCCAGCCACTTTTGGGGAATGCCTGACCAACAATCCTGAACTTGCAATGGCTTGACAAGAAAAGCTCTACATATGGACGTTCATCGACAACTGCAGTAACACCTCCTTTTTTCGGACCCTTTAGAAGTGCAGTGGCGTACTCTTCTGGGGATCCAAGGGCTTTAAGCCTGGATTTAGGAATACCAATTTCATTGGTCAGATAATGTTCTGCAAAAGAACCCACTTGGTATCCAATAGGATCATCACCATCTTTTAAACTTTCGATTCCTTTGATAGGAGAATAGAGCTGTTCAACTGTGAGGATAGAGGTCAAACCAGCAGTGTAACTTGAGTTAATTATTAAGACAACAAAAAGCCATATTATCAGCACTATACGCCCAAGAGTACTCATTGGTTTCTCTTCTGCAAAAAAAGAAAAGCATCAGAAGGTTATATCGATCAATGAGGAACCAATTGTAGTGGAAAAATATTACAAGAAAGATTCATCGACACAGTTTTCACTTACTGTGTGAAAAAAAAAGGTTGAGAGGCTGAACCTGCAGGAGAAGCAGGCAAAAGGGTGTGAGAAACCGGTTCTTCATAACTGTTTTCTGTTCTTTTGGTTAAGAATGACAAACCCAAATTATACCATCAGACCCCACAAAAAGTTGAAATACTGGTAATTGACCATGCATCTTTCTATTATCAAAACACTGCATACCTTTTCTCAGAGGCTCAGACACCAATATGGCAATAGAACAGCATGCTCAGACAACTAAAAAAATTTAAAGGTCATTATCTAACCAGATATGCTACAAGAATTCGTAAATTTTGACATGTTGTGATAAAATCAGCTACTTTTGACGTTTTTACATCAAGGTAATTAATCAATTATTCAGAAGTAACCTTTTATCCATCCAGGAAAAAGCATCCCCTGCCAAGGAAGAGAGTTGGCATAGATCCATGCAGTTTTATTAAGTACTTTAGTCCATGTTTTATTAAGTACTTTAGTCCATCAAAAGAACTTGACATAATTAAGGTTTTTCTCTAAGTAGTAGACTCTCCAAAAACTAATAATTAATATCAGGAGAAAGGTAACTGAAGAACAATAGGAGACATGAGTTCTGATGGTCTTTGACAGTGGACTCGAAGAATGGTGCTAGATGTCTTTTACTCCATTCTTGAAGTTCATAACTTCAAGAGTAACTGAAAGGAAGTTCTACCAATTGGGTATTAGGGATATTAACATGGATGCAGAATTAAGCTGGTTATTAAAATTTATTAGTTCCAGTACAAGAGAATTTTAACTTGGAAAATAGATCGATAAATTTGACAGTTATCAGTTGCTATTTTGGATGGTAGTTTAATAAACATACGTATTCCCTATCAAATCTTGTATGATTGAACTCACCATAGAACGGTTATCAGTTGCTCCTTTGGTGGACCGCGGAACTCATCATTAATTCGGTGCTCCAAAACCCATACAACTATTCCAACAAAAAGAAATAAAGCAGCAGTAACACCCCATAGTGCAGGAGAAAACGGTCTTAAGAAAGCCCAAGCACCTGTATTCAACTCCCTAACTGGGACTAATATAACAAGTCCAGATGCAGCATATGGCTGTGTAAATTCTACATTTCTTTTCCGATCTGTCACGATGGCAATGTCACCAACAACCCCATTAAAGAACTGTGACAAGTAAACATAATGATTAGCTAACAATATAACCAAGCACTAGCAGACTTCATCCATACATGTGTGCAACTCAAAATAACTATAACCCTAATCATATTTAAATAACATACTTACTCCTGTTGTAATTAAATTCACAATCTCGGTGTAGTTCGGATTTTCATGGCCATCTCCATACGGAATGAATTGAAATGGAACAGCGTATGGCAGAATGTTTATAGCAGCAATAAATACGTCTATGCAGAATCCTTTGAATATATTAGTGTTTGGCACTTGGGATACAAATTCTTTGTAACTAAACCGATTGGGTACACCAATTCTCAATTGCCTCCCATTATTTGGAAAAACCCATCCACGAGGATTTCTTACTGTGTTTCCTGGCCAAATAACATCATATAGTCGTTGGTTTGCACTTGAACGATTAGGGGGCCTTGAATATAGAGTCTCAGGAGGCACAGTTGAAAGTCCAGAATAATTTGACCAGTAACCAATTTGATGGAAACCAGTTCCAACGATGTTTATGATATCATATGCAGGAGAGATGATACATCTATCAGGA